CTCCCAGCCATTCCCCCCACCTCACCACCCACCAGCGGGTGCACACCGGCGAGCGGCGGCCCTACGTCCCCGAGTGCCGCAAGAGCTTCACCACCAGCTCAGCACTCACCAAGCACAAGCGCGTCCACACGGGCGAGCGGCCCTACGTCTGCCCTGACTGTGGCAAGAGCTTCACGCAGAGCTCCAACGTCATCACCCACTGGCGCCTGCAGCACGGCAAGTCCCTCTGACGGCCCTGGCCATGTTCCCCCAGCACCGGTGTCCACTCCCCGAGGTTTCTCTGTGTGGTGCTCGGCAAATAAAATCTGCCGTCCTGTAGCAGAGGCCACCAGCGCAGCTGGGATGGGGCGGTGGGGGGCAGAGCAGGGGTGATGAAGTTTTGCCCAAGGCCCCCCCACTGGCACTGGGGGTCCTCTGGGGCCTCATCAAACCCCTGTTCACTCCTGGGCCCTCCCTGCCAAGTGGTGGCCATCCCAGATGGCTGCCAGCCCAGAAGCCGCTGTGAGCCAGCAGCTCCTGTCATTTCGCAGGTGGGGGAAAGCAAAGGAATTTGGTGGTTTTCACCCAAAAAGGCAGATGCAGAGGCATAGCACAGGTGTCTGAGGCTTGGGTATTGGTGGCATCTTCTGGCTTGCCGCTGACCTGTGCAGCTCGCGCCATGGAGTGGGCAAGCAGCTATGGTGCTTAGTTGCCAGCCGGGGTTAAACCATGACACCTTTTGAGGCTGAACTGGGGGGCTTTGGGGCTTCACCATGCGACTCGGGGGCGCGGGCGAGCCTGGGGAAGAGGGGGGAGCTGCAGGGCCTGGTCAGAGAGAGGTGTCCCCTGGGGACACAGCAGCCAGTGCCCGCAACTCCCTGAGCCTGGCAAGGCCCACTGCCGCACGGAGGATGGGAGACAATGGGCGTGAACGGGAGGAGGACAGCTCTGCTGCCGGCCAAGCGGCTGGGCCCTCCGCATCCGTGGAGCGTGTCTGGACCCGGCTGGATAAAGCCCCGAGGAAGCGGCCGGCAGGACCTCGGCTGCAGGAGAGGGGTGGAGGTCGAGCTCCCCAGCTCCCTCCTGGGCTGTGTTACCCCAGGACCCCCGCCCTCCCCCCGGGCTGTTTGCAGGTGCGGGGGCACGGAGGGCATTTGTCCCCTTTGCCCAGCCCTTGCTGTCACCCCGCTGCTGGCTGACCCTGCTGAGCCAGGGGCTGGGGATGGGGCTGGGATGAGGGTGGGGAAGGGGACAGGGACAGGCCAGGGGAAGGGGGGAT